ACTCACTCTTTGTCATCAATTATTATTCCAGAAATTTGTGTACCTGATACTAAGCATTGCACTTGGTAAATAAAGCAGTTCTTGGACTTGATGAAATTTTCACCTTCTGGATGGGAGCAACAGGTTATATTCCCATTGCTGCTATTGCATACCATCAGCCTTATGGCCTAGTGGTCTAGAGTGCTTGACTCCCTAATTTTTACCAGAGCCCCGAGTTCAATCCTCGGTCCTGCCATTTATTTTGGCCACCAGAGTATCAGCCTGCTTAGTCGGTTTCACAAGCCCAAAAACATTATTTGGCATTTACATTATTAGTATTACAGGTTAGCCGACCGGGGCTCATAAGCTTTTTCGGTGGAGCAAATAGTGACAAATTTTGCGCCACTACAAGTTTCGCCAGTCGGCTTGGTGTGTTAGAGTCCAGTCTTTGGAATCACTCTGGAAGTTGTGGCAGGAGGTAGAATGTAGATATGATGGGATCGTTGTAGATACAGAATATAAACTACTCTCAAAATGACGAGTGCGAAGAGATGAGAAGCGAGGGGGTTGGGTGGCAGCGTGGAGCGCTGTCCAGTCCCGGGGCAAGTCCTCATCTAAGAAAAGAATGAGCTGCGAGGGTGGGTGGTTACGCCTCGCATGAGCAGGTAAAAGATGACAGGAGTGAACCCAAGGACCCAAGGGAAAATGTGCGTGGGGTGAGCTAATTGTGAGGCGCCAAGATGAAAATCAAGAAAAGGGAGTGGTGGGTGGGTGAAAGATGAGTTGGTGCACAAGCTGAGCAGCAGGTGCGAGCGGGTTGAGGTGATGGTGGCACAGAAGAGAAAAGGCCGTGCTGCTTTCTGCTGCTCAACCAAAGACCAAACTCTGTCACTCACTCGTGCCTCGTTACGTAACAGAGTCACAATCTTTGGAATCACTCTAGAAGTTACGGTGGGAGGTAGAATGTAGATATGATGGGATCGTTGTAGATACAGAAGATAAACTACTCTCAAAATGACGAGCGCGAAGAGATGAGAAGTGAGGGGGTTGGGTGGCAGCACGGAGCACTGTCCAGTCCCAGGGCAAGTCCTCATCTAAGAAAAGAATGAGCTGCTGACCCCATGGTAGTAGGAGAATGACGATGCATGCAGCAAATGGGCAGAACCACCCACTATAGGAGGAGGGTATGTCGCCAATGGAAAGAAACAGGATGGAGACCGGTTTATCGGTGAACAGGGGGAATTGTGTAATGCAGGAACGCTTTGTGTATGAGAGGCTGGGCTTGGATGAATGGAGCAAGTATCTGGGCATGCCGATGGAGGTATACGAGAAAAGCGTCACTGGCCCAACAGCCCTTAACTTTGACGACGTCGAAAGGGACATTTCAGAGGAGGTACTCAAGCGTAGACCTGATGCGGATACCATGTCCTTGCAATGGATTGGTCCCTGCCTGCATGGCTGCATTGGCTAAAACTGAAAGGAACTTCTTTTTGGTCAGTGGTCTGTAGCCGCTGTTATGCCAATAGGCGAAGAGAGCCATGCTCGGGGGGATCATTGATTGTGAGGTGATTCTTGAGGGCGCTGAGGGGGTCCGATGGGCCGTTTTGCTTGGTCCAGTTCACGTCCTCGCCAAGAGGAGCCAATGGGGTTAAGTCGCTGTGAGGGGGAGCAAGCCAGCGGAGAAGCCGTGGCATAAGCCATCAATTATATACGGGTATCTAATGTTTAGCTGAGATTCTACGAGCAGCTGTTGCCACATGTCCGGGAGATACGGGGTTAGGGCTCTAGACCTTCGGGCCTCGAGGGCATGCCTGAGCTCTGTGATCTTCACCTCCGCAGCCGGAGCATTCATGGCAGGAGTTCTTGTGAGACGCGGAGGAACAACTGATGGCCCGTTGCCAATCCAGGCACAGGGTGAGGCCCTTGGGATTAATGAGGTGGCCATTGGGACCTCATCGGCAGTAGGTGTTTGATCCGTCCCATAGTGTGGATGCGTTGCAGTCGTGAACGTGGTGTGCGAAACATCCGAGGCAGAGGTAGCACACAGAACAGGTCTCCGCCTGCCTCCCATTGCTCTTGGGCTTACGCGATCGTGGTGCATTGGGGATGAAGATCCTAAGCGGTGTCAAAAAGGCTGCTGGGGATGTTGCTGACGTATGGGTGAACGGGAACGTGAGTTCCTGCGTGGTCTACCCTCTTTGGGTTCACTACACGTGGATGTGGTGCAATGGCCACGACACGTGCGTATGGACGGGGAGTCTGCCATGCCGCACATGGACTCGAGCTATGAGTGGGGGGCAAATGGGCCAGTTGTGAGGACGAATGGGTGTGGGGGGGGGCAAGTGGGCCTGATGCGTCAGCGTGGCGAATGGGCCACAGAAGCAGGCGATCAACGAGTGTGCCGTCGTGATGGGTTCAATGCAGGGGTGGGGCGAGTGAGCGACAACACCGTGATGCGGAGGAAAAAGGAGAAGGGGTGGAGTGCGAGAGGGGGTATAGGATAATAGGGAGGGGAGGGGAAAGGAAAGTTAGTGTGATGGATGGGTACATGTTTATGTGCACTTGCCTTATGCGCGTGTTCCTCGCTGGCTTTGGCATTGATTTCCCAACCTATGTTCTTCATTAGTTCATCGTTGATGATGGCAATGTTGAACGCTTTGCTAGCTCTGAGGTTGTCGTGCCAACTGCAGTGGACTCTCAATGCGTAGGTTAGAACCATAGAGTTACCATTTGGGTTGGAACACATGGGATGTGTCTCGACGTTCCAGAAGAACTCTGCTAGGGCGTCCAGATGTTTGCCTGGCCATGAGGCCTTCTTTGCATAGAAGAGAAGGTTGTTTTTCGCTTGAAGGAAGGCTTCAAAAGATAGATTGTGGTCTTCTACCGAGTTGTGGGAGGCTTTGACCGCGGTAACTGAGCGCAGCATAAGAATGTCGTCAACCTTGGAGATTCTGAAGGTCTCATCTGCATTGGATCTGTTGTATTTAGATGCCTCAGAGCAGCCAGCTGGTGAGAAATACCACAGATCGACATGGTCGAAATTGTTTAGCCTCTGGAGCACGTACTGGGAAGGGCAGGGACGATGACACTGGAGACAGATGTGGCTTGGTTGAAGTCATTCATTTTGGGTTTCTTCTTCTCCCCTTCTCTGCACTCCTGCTCTGCTTCCTCTTCAGCAAGGCACAGTTCCTCTTCCTCTTGCTCTCTCTGCTGTTGTTCCGCTTCTTCAGCAACCCAGGCCTGATCAGCTTGGATTCAGTTCCAGGCGTCAACTCAAATATTGTGCTGTGTCCCAGGCGGCAATCAAACACTCAGTGACTTGCTGGGCGGATTTGTTGGTGGCTTGTATGAGAGCCTCACGGATGGGGGCAAAGGCTTTGCTGGCGAAGTTTGGACGGACTTCGAGAGCTGGGTCTGCCATGTTGAGGAAAAGAAAAGAAGGAGTTGTTCGCGAGAAAGCGAAAGACGAGTTGGTGCGCGAGCTGAGCGGCAGGTGCGAGCGGGTTGAGGTGATGGTGGCACAGAAGAGAAAAGGCTGTGCCGCTTTCTGCCGCTCGACCAAAGACCAAACTCTGTCACTCACTCGTGCCTCGTTACGTAACAGAGTCACAATGAATGTTCGGTAATATGTCGGAAAAACTATGTGTGGTCGTATTTGGTTTGTGGCTAAGTACTCGGATGGGACTCTCTACACACCAACGCAGACTGGTTTGGAGTCTGGTTAGAGTCCCTATTTGCTTTAAAAATATTAGGCAACCTGTGTGACCTTGAAGGGGATGGCATTGTCATTATCTACATGTAATTTTTTTCTTGTTCTTGTTGATGTTTGAAGCTGATCTCAGTGAGTCAAATGGTCTTGCATATCAGAAATTTGCACATCAACACGAGGTTCCTCGTTTTTGAGAGGGTGCAACACATCATCTGGAACCTCAATTATTTGAAGCTAGCAAAGGTCTTGACATCGTCACACATATGCCTGATTTTTTTCCCTTGAGCTTGCTCAAGAGTCATTGGCTGTACAGTTAATATTTGCACTTCCCAGTCATCGATAATAGTAGCGCGTAGCCAGTGAGGTGCTGGTTGCAAGTTGTTGGTGACCGTGCTCGGATACTCAATATTTAATGCCCTCCAATCCTCACAGAGCAGTGTCAACCTGAGCCAAACCCTCGACGTACACATTGTGATACTGGGATCTCCAAGATGTCTGTTTGTTAACGACTTCTGCTCACTCTGACCTCCCAACCATGCAACCTCCTACCTCCTACCTCCCACCTATCGCACGAATTGCGACGTTCACAACCACACAGCTACTCGACGCCCTTGCATATCTCAAGTCACTCTATCTTTCCGAGGTACGCGGCTCTCGCAGAAGACGCGTCGTTTTCGACTCTTTCGACGACAAATTTTTTCCAAGCACATTCACAACCAATCCACATCCCAACCATGACAACGACATCCAGCTCATCCGATCCGACCCTTTCGAGCGTTCCTACGCGATTAGGTGGCTCACAGTTCTCATATCCCAACTTGAAGCTTGGGAAGGGCCTTCACAGTCTGGGAAAGTCCCCCCGGCCCCCAGCGACCTCCAGCTTACCCGTGCACACATCGATACATTGATCCAGCAGGCTGCATCGCTGCTAGCGATCTGTGCTGGTGTTTCTGCTGCAGGAAGAGTACAACGAGTGTTCTCCTTTCATTCATCTATCGCCGGAAGGATAGAAGTCTTGTTGACGGACATACCCTTGGAGAATCAGGATTACGGGAGTGTCGGAGCGCAAACTTGGGGAGGGGCGTGTGTGTTAGCGGAAATGATGGTGGAACATCCTGATCGTCTGGGTCTCAGATACGATCCAACCACGAGCGACGTTGTATGTCCTCCACGCGCTCTGCGTGTCCTCGAACTGGGCGCAGGAACTGGGCTCGTCGCATTGACAGCAGCGAAATTAATGCAGGCACTACCCGCCTGGAAGTTCCATCAAACGACCGTCGTCGCGACAGACTTCCACCCAATCGTCTTGGATAACCTGCGATCGAACATCGAGACCAATTTTTCGATCCCCTCCACAGACCACGATTATTCGATCCCGATCACTAGTCATTTTCTGGACTGGTCATGTTTCCCCTTGACAAAGACGAAACCTGACGTCTTTTCGAGTCCATTCGACACCATTTTCGGCGCGGATGTCGTGTACGAGGCTCAACATGCTGTCTGGATACACGAATGCCTGAAGTCTCTCCTTCGTTGCCCCGAATCCT